CATAGATGTCATTGCCGACACTGGAAAGAGCATGGTGGTGCAGTCGTGGGGAGGAAGGCCCTAACCCAGTGAGCTGTGGGAGTGTGGAAGGAGAGGTGGAGAGGACACAGCAGTGGTGAGTGTCTGCACTTCTCCAAGGAGCTTGGCCAGGAGTCGGGAGGAGGGAGAGAGAGAGAGAGAGAGAGAGCGCACAGGAGTGGGGGTTACAGAATCGCAGACAGGCGTGCCAGCTCCTGGGGGTGACTAGTCAAAGGACCACATCCTGGGGGGTGTAAACCACACAAATGTATCCTCTCAGGGTCCTGGAGGCTGGAAGTCCGAAATCAAGGCTCCCTCCGAAGGTGCTAGGGGAGAGTCCGGCCCAAGCCACTGCCTGTCTTCTGGTAGCCGCAGGCGTTCCCAGAGAGGTAGATGGTATTCTCCCTGTGAGCTCATCTCTTCCTCCCTCCATGCATGGCTGTGTCCACATTTTTTCCTCTTCCTCCTTCTTCTTCCTCTTTCTTCCTCTTCTTCTCCTTTTTGAGACACAGTCTTGTTCTGTTACCCAGGCTGGAGTGCAGTGGCACAATCTCTGCTCACTGCAATATCCGCCTCCTGGGTTCAAGTGATTCTCCCACCTCAGCCTCCATGTAGCTGGAACTACAGGCATGTGCCACCACGCCCAGCTCATTTTTGTATTTTTAGTAGAGATGGGGTTTCACCACGTTGGCCAAGCTGGCCTCAAACTCCTGACCCCAGGTGATCCACCCACCTTAGCCTCCCAAAGAGCTGGGATTACAGGCATGAGCCACCGTGCCTGGCCACATTTCTTCTTATAAAAAGGACACCAGTCATATTGGATTAAGGGCCACCCTAATGCCCTCATCTGAACTTGATGATCTCTGCAAACACTCTATTTCCAAATAGGGTCACATTCACAGGCACGGGAGTTAGGACTTCACTTGCCTTTGCCGGGGGTGGGGTCACAGTTCAGCCCTTGATGAAAGGTGTGCTTGTTTATTTTTCAAGATAAGAGAGTGCACTCGTGTTTAAATGCGGATGTGAAGGGGCCAGAATGGTAGGGAGGTTGCAGACACAGGAGGGAGAGAGCATTGCTGGCAGCGGCT